TCACCGGCAATCCCGTCTGTAAAGGGGAAGGTAGGCGCCGTGACGGAAAGGCTTCCCCAAGGGCAGAACCCAGTGTGGTTGGCTGGTCAGTGAGTTTAGGCTACCCGCCCCACTGACCGGACAGGATCCACTCAGGGATCCGAGTCCTTAGGGCCCTGAGCTGGGGCCCGTGAGCGAGGGCGAGTCCGGGCCCCCCTTCTCCCCTCCACGGGACCCCTCCAGCGGTTCCAAGAGGGCCGCAGCAGCACGAAAGGCTGGGTTTGGGAGGGCGAGAGTGACGTGGGGAAGAGAGAGGGTGTGGCCAGTGATGAGCACCCGAGGCAGACTGCAGGCGGCCCCGCGGGGGACCGAGTGAAGACAGTCAGACAGGTGCACTGAGGCACGGTGGGAAGGGGGCAACGATGGGCGCCTCCTAACAGTGACATTAAACTTGGGGGCAGAGAGACTGGGGGAAGTGTTCCCTCTAAGGCTATGTCTACACTCGTGGCTTCTCATGCAAGTATAGCCATACTTGCACAAGAACCTACAGAGCAGCCACAGTGCCCGCCTGTTCTTGCACAAGGAAATTTACAGTTCAGTGTTGTAAGAAAGGGGGTCTTGCACAAAAGCTACACTCTTTTCTAACAGGTGTAAGCTCTCTTGCGTAAGAGGGCAGTGTGGATGCTTGGCAGGAATTTCTTGCGCAAGAAACCCCTTTGGCTAAAATGGCCATCGGCACTTTCTTGTGCAAGAGAGCGTCCACACTGCCATGGATGCTCTCGTGCTAAAGCACATCTCTTGTGCAAAAGCACATGGCAGCGTGGACATGCTCTTGTGGAAGGCCTTTTGCACAAGAACTCTTGCACAAAACAGTTCTTGCGCAAGAAGCCTGCAGTGTAGACATAGCCTATATGTTGATGTCTCTTATTGAGTTATTGGTGTAGAGGAGCAAGCAGGAACTAGGATGGATTAGTCTGTCAAATATAAGCCAGGGGCTGGGTTAGCTTTTCTAAGGAATCCATGTGGGCCATTGATAGAGAGTGTAGTTCTCTTGATTTCACCCTCTCCCGCCCCCACCCAAATGG